CCACCTAGCTGCCCCTATACAATTGTCGCTCAGCACTGTTGGAACAAAATCTACAACTGTGCCAACTTGGTCCACTAGAAATATTTGTTATCTAATCTCAGTTGGTCCCTCAGTGCTACATATCCCATTAAATCATTAGCTCATTCAGGGCAGAGACTGTCTTTTACTTCTTTTTGTATCCCCAGAGCTTAGCACAGTGTCTGGCATGTAGAAGGAGCTTAATAAATGTTTATTGCTTGATTGTTTTTATTCTTTCTTTTTTGATTCTCTATAAAGCTCCCTGTAGTTGCTCTTCAAATCTTTCTTTTCTCTCCTCAAGCTTCCTGCATTATCACCTCCCACTCAGCTGAGACTTCCTCTCCTACTTTGTTGAAAAAATAATGGCCATCATTTTAACTTCTATTTTTTTTCTAATCACATCCCTTAAAACTTCTTAACATTATTCTCCATTGTTTCTTCCTTTACTCCTGTCTCTGAAGATGTGACCCTTCTCCTTGCCAAGACCAACTATCTACTTTTGTTTTGATCCCATCCCTCCCATTTCCTCCTGAATATTGCCAAGAGGATTCTCTTTCTTTCAAATATTTACTTTCTTCTTACCTACTGGCACCTGTGCTGCTGTCTTCAGAGATGTCAAGTTCTTCCTCATTCTTAAAAATAAAAACAAAATCAAAACCCTTCTTCTGACCTGTCATCTCTTAAAATTATTATCCTATATTTTTCAGTTCTTCTGGAGACAATCTGTTAGGAAAAAGCCATCAGTATTTATTACTCTACTTCCTTTCCTCCCACTCACTTTTCAATCTTTCCCAATCTAGCTTCCAACCTAACCTCACCACTAAACTAAAACTGTTCTCTCCAAAGTGACCAAAGATCTCTTAAATGCTAAATCCAAAGACCTTTTCTTGATTCTGAAGTCCTCATGCTTTGCGACCCTGTGTAGCCTTAGCTCACTTTCTCTTTGATACTCTCTCCATCATGAATTTTTGTGATTCTGTTGTCTCTATGTTCTCCTGGGAACAACTTAGCCAATTTTTGAGAAGTTCATCATAAGTTTGACCACATGGTGATGATTTTTTTTTTTGGACACAGCAACTCTAAAACACCACGAACCAGACAAATTCTGCCTCCATCATTGTCAAAAACTTCTCTGAGATTTGCTTCTGAACTCTCTTTGGAGAACTTCATGTTTTCCCTTCTGATTAATCCTCAGACTTTTTACTGCATTATAATTCAGGTCCAACCCCTTAACTGTGGGTGTCCTTCCATGCTATTTTCTAGACCTTTTTCACCTCTCTGTATATATCACATTCATGGTTTCAATTCTTATCTCTATGGAGGTGACTTCTAGATCTACATATCCCATCTTCATGCCTCTCTTGAACTCTAATCTTACATCACCATTGTCCGTTGGAATGTCTCACAGTCATCTTAATCTAATCATTTCCAGAATAGAAGTCATAATTTCCCCTCCAGACCAAACCCTCATCCAAACTTTTTTTAAATTTCCATTGAAGGGCACTATCATCTTTCTAGTGAATCAAGCGTAAAAGAGAGCACAGAATTGGAGTCAGGAAGAGTTGGGTTGTATAACTGTGGGGCAAATCATTTAACCTCTCTCAGCCTCAGTGTCTTCATCTACAAAATAAAAAGATTGGACTTAGTAGCTTCTATTGTTACCTAATTAATCAAATGTCTTCTTATTTCTAATTCCAAAATGTCTTTCACATCGATTTCCTTTCTACTCAGAGTACCGCTATCCTAGTTCAAGCCTTCATCAGCACTTGCCTGGATAATTGCAATGACTCCTAATTGATCTACCTTCCTCAGTTCTCTCTTCTCTATAATCTATGCCCCACACAACAGCCAAACGGAATTTTCTTAAAGTGTAGGTCTGACCATGACATTCCCCAATTCAGGAAACTATAGTAGCTCCCTATTTCCTTTAGATAGTGATATTTAATATGAATTCATCTATTTGGAATTCAAAGTCTTTCACAACCTGGTTCTAATCAGCTATTCTATTCTAATTAAACATTACTCTCCTTTGCATACCCTATGGTCCAGCCAAACTGACCTGTTTCATAGTCTTCATACATAGCATTCCATTTCCCATCTACATCCCTATGAACTGGCAGTACCCCATGACTATATTGCTTTCCTTCCTCACTTCTGCTTGTTAGAATCTCTAATTTCCTTTAAGACTCAAATGAAGTGCCACCTTCTACAGCAAGTCTCCCTGATCCCTCATACATCTCTCTGTCTCTCTCTCTGTCTCTCTCTCTGTCTCTCTCTCTCTGTGTCTCTCTGTGTCTCTCTCTCTTTGTCTCTCTCTCTTTGTCTCTGTCTCTCTCTCTCTCTCTGTCTCTCTCTCTCTCTGTCTCTCTCTCTCTCTCTCTCTCTCTCTCTCTATCTCTCTGTCTCTCTCTCTCTGTGTCTCCCCCTCCATATTCTTATTCTCCCAGCAGGTAGGCAGGAAACATGCTTGTTGATTAACCAACTCAAAGTAATATAAAAATTATTAGAGAGAATAATCATGTGAATCTTGATAGAAATGTGTTTTAGGGGGAATTTTGCTCTACCAAAGAAATATTTATTTATTCATTCATTCACTCATTAGTTCATTGATTTAACTACTTATTTATTCATTTATTTATCCTTCAAATCCTCCAGGTCTCCAATTCTAGAAGAGATGTGGAGTTGGCTACCATTATGGATATATCTGTTGGAGGTCCTATACCTGGAGCATGCTATTCCATGGTCCTCTACTGGGCTGGGCTAGAGCAATGAGGTTTTACATAAGGGAGAAAACAGTTCTCCCCTTTCAGATGAACCTATTTGGAATATTTATCCCATTTACCATGGGTTGGTAGGGTAGGAGGGAGAAAAGAAAAGTGCTGCTCAAGAAAAGTTGAAAACTTTCCCTGATAAGAGAAATGTGTTCTTTCTAAGAACTTGTGGAATGGACTAGAAGCTAGCAGTCTCCTGGTCCCTTCAGCCCTTCCAAGTTTATGATGTATTAAAATCAAATTGCCATATTATAATTAAGTTAACTTTTTGATTCAAATGTGTCAAAGGAATGCTTTCAATTTTTAATTATAATTTTGCTAGTCAACTCAAAGAATCTTCACAACTGAAAACCACTTCAGGAGGTTATGTGGTTGAGCCCCTCCTGTATTCAGGAAGGCCAATTATTCATGTTATATTAAAATTAAAAAAAAAGTTTTGATTGACAACTGCTGACAGGTGTTATATGAGCTCATGCTTCAAATGCCAATCCGATTGTTGTCTCCAGACTTTGCTTCTGGGGAATAAAACCTATCCAAGCTATTGAGCCTGCTCGCCTCTCATAGTTGAAACTGAAACGTCAACTTAGGGTATGAGGAGATCATGCTATATAAGGCAGATGAGAGGCAGATAGAAAAGCTAACTGGAAATACCTTATTGAATAGAGAACTGCACTAACAGGAAAAGACAGCCACTCTACACCCAATGACTGTTCTTTACTGGGTGCTCAGCTGTTCAGCCACCTCATGAAGAAAATCAGTTTGCTTGATTCTTGTGTGTCAATCCAATGGGGGAAAATGCCTTTTGAGAGGCAAAAGTACATCCAGATGAAGTATACCTAAATGCATTTCCACGTGATCTATCCTTGTCTCTGTCTCTCCCTGTCTGTCTGACTCTATCTCATCTTTTTGGTCCCCTTTCTTCCCTCTCTCCTACCACCTTTTTACATTAAATAATTCATTGATTTCTCTCCCTTCCAGTCCCTACATCCTTTCTGTTAATTTCTTTCCCAGTTTCCAATTACTTCTTCACTTCGTTATTATTAAAACAGGAAATGGAATGGTTATATTTAAATTCCCTTGTGGTTTTAGCTATCAAGATAGGAAGGGCAGATTATGGCTGAAATCTTGGCACTAAATTCCCAGCATATCTACAAACAACAGCCCTTTTGGCCTGCACCCTGACATTCTTCCTTTTCATGTTTTCCCATAAAACATTGAGTTAATAACATGGCACAACATCTCAGGTTAAGGTACAGCTCTCTTCTTTATTAGGAAATCAGAAGTTGAATACGCAAATAATTAGGAGATACCTTTAAGCTAATGTAACCCTAAGAGTTGCTGCATGAGGCTTATCATCGGATGATTGAGAAGACCCCAAGTACAGTATTCTTCCATTTTAAATGTAGTTATGAAACACATGAACAGCTCATGATGATGGCCTATTAAAGAACAAAAAATCTATAATTATGGGCTGAGGCTTCAGATCCCAGCCCTCAGCCAGGAAAGATTGGTCTCACCCATGTGTTTTCCAGAGTTGTTTCTTGCCCTCATACTAGGACAGACAGGACACAAAGAAATGAAATGAGATGCAGGATTTGAATTCAGGCCTCCTGTCCTCAAGGCAGGCACTATGCTGTTATTGCCTCTCAAGATTATCACAAATTATTCCCCAGCAAAGTGGTTGTTTTGTTTTTGTTATGTAAATAATCTGACTCCTAATGAGAGCTGGCTTTTTTTATAGTTCTGTGTTTTCAGGCTTTTCACTCTAATGGCAAACATTTTCTAAGCAGGCTATTTAAAGCATTGAGTCTTTTAATCAGGACAACAGTCTGTGACAGTAATGGGCATGATTTATTTTAGGATTGTATTTAATGTCAATGTAAAAATTGTTCTCTTTGCCTCTTCCAAAATCAGAACTTAATCAACAAATGCATTCTGATTCAGATTATGTTGCATAATTTCTAATTTCCCTTGTAATCACCTTAATCTTCCTCAAGATAATTATATCAAATTGCACAGAGCCTCTTTCCTGCCCTTTTCTCAAATGCAATCATTGGCTTGCTTCTAATACTCAGTGTAAAAATTCATTCTTACCAAGTTGAAAATGTTCTTAAATCTTTCTAAGAAGAAACACTCCACATAGTAAACTACACACTTAGTGCTAATAATGTTTTTTTCACATAAAAAAGATTCAATGATGGAAAGTGAAAAGAAATTGATTTTTAGGCTTTGGGAAACTTATTTCTTAAATACATTGTTGTCACAGCTGACTTTCATTTTTAATTACCCTGAGAGTTTTGAAGTCATCATATAAGACAAAAGCACTTCTGGGAGCTGACTGCAGTAGACCCACATTCTGAACATACACAGATTTCATGGCCCTCCAGAATCCATTATTATGCTAACGCTGGTCCTTTGAATTCTCAACTAACTCACAGAAGATGAATTTCCTTCCTGAAGTAAAAGACTCATCACAGACTCACAAGCAGAACCAGACCTTGGGGAAGTAGTCAGGACTGAATTTAAATCATCTTAACTGAACCTGGAGATTGGACTGCCATCGACTCCTGCTGACTCATGGAGGAAGGAAGGAGACAGCCAGAAGAGAGTTGGTAAATATTTCTAGAAGCTCTGAAGGACTTAGGACCAAAAATTTAAAAGAAATTATTAAATAAGCAAAGTGGACAGACAGATGAACAGACAGGTAGATGATAGCAATAGATAGATATTTTATTAGGTGTTAAGTATAAAGAAGATAATTCTGGCCCTTAAGGAGCTTATAGGGAATGCAGGTGGGAGTTGAAGACAACACATTGTGTGGGTTTGTCCTTCATTCTTAAAAAGGACCATGTCATCAGGGAGATAATGACATGACTTGCAATTGGCTTTGATTTGATTGAAGGAGGGCTGTTCAAAGTCACTAGCCTCACTATCTCCTCCAGAGCCATCTGGGTCCAGTGGCCAGATATAGATCAGGATGACTGGAGATGGCAGTGGGAAACTTTGGCCTTTTTAAGCTAAGGTCTTTCCAGGTTGTCACTTTGAGTGAGGCAACTTCCATTCAATGAATAGGCATTTTAAGAAATGAGTCAAGGAACGGCCCCTTTAATAAAAAAAAAAAAGAAAGATCCAAGTGGGAGGGGAAGACCCTCAGGGTTGCTAGTCAAAAGAGAAACAGTTAGTATTTACATTGACTCTGAGCCAGGAAGGCCCAAAAGATAACAATTAAGTGGTGTTTGGGCAGGGACCTATTGTTGACCAATCCATGAGATCCAGAGTGAATTGGGACAACACAGAAAGAAAAGGTACAAAGAGGTAAAGGGAAAGATGAGCAAGCTTCTGAGAAGGTAAAGGGAACAGACCAAGGGTCAGGGTCCAAGGAGAGGGGTTAGGCATAAATTATTTTTGAGCTCTAGGAAAAGGAAAGGGAGGCCGAAGCTGATGTATCTCTTGAACTTCAGACATCTGAGCTGTGCTAGATAAACTGGTCAAGGTCAGAATTGGAGCAGGTCAAAGCTCCTGTACTGAATAGCAGTGAGATCCAGTCTGTGAGTAACCTTTGTATTTCCAGGTTGTGAGACAGGGAGACTAAGTCTTTTTTAAAAATTAAAAAAAAAGAAGAAAGGAAGAAGCAATGGAGGAAGGAGGAATGGAGGGATGAAGGAAGGAAGCCTGTTTTAACAGAAGCAATTCAAGTAAAAAAGACTTAATTTTAGTCAACTGTAAGCCACAGTTTAAGAGGAACATGTGAGTAGGGATCATTTTCTTTCTTACATTCTGAGTGCCTCGCCCAGAACCTAGAACATGGCAAACATTAAATAAATACTTGTCAATTCATTGATTGATTGATGTAAAGGAGAACAACAAGAAAGGTAAATGCAAACCATTTCACATGAAAATGATGAAAGAGCTGGTGTGTTTGTCTTGGAAAAGGGAAGATAGTGGCAACAGAGAGGTCTCTTTGAATAGCTAATGGGATGCTATCTGTAATTTTCAATAATCTTTCTCTGATGTCTGATTTAGCTTGAGATGACCTTCCAAGGCTATGGGAGTGGAATGTAATCACTGATAGGTAGGATAGGTAGGCCCTAGCAAGCTAGTGAGGGGTAATTTATATCATCTTGATGGGGTATGGGCTCTGAAAACAGTGCACTCCCCTCCCAACTTCCCTTGGGCTCTCACAAATGGCCCAGGTCCCTGGGGCACCTGGCCTTTCCCAGTTAATCCTTTTAACTGGCTTTTCATTGTCTTCACCTGGCCCAGCCCTACACCACCACTCATTAATCCCATCTAAACCTCTTCTCCATTACCTCTAACCCAGTCCACCCCTTCTCTAGAATCTCCCAGTCACCCTACTCCTTGTCTACTGTAATTAAGTGTCCATATTGCCCTAATTAAATAGCTCAGACTCCTTAAGAATGTGGCTCAGTTGTATTGGCATCACAAGTGCTCAGATCCTTAAAATTTGGCCAATAGCTCAGATTTTTAAAATCTTGCCCACCTCAAATGGTATTTTACTAAACTTGTCTCTGACTAAAAGAAGGTTTGAGTCAATTTTTTTTTTTTGCAGCAGGACCTTCATCTTTTGCACTTAAATTTTGGGGTTCCCAGCAGTCCTAGATCTCAACAATCTGAAGACCTCATCATGAGTTTGACCACAGGGTGCTGGATTATTTTGCTGTATCAATTTCCAAAGAACACCCAAACAGCACATGGTAAGCACTTAATGAATGCTTTTTGACTATTAAGTTACAGGACAGCTGTGATGTGAATAGTTGGGATGGTAGTGTTTTCTTACACTTGAGGAATTACTGATTTTTGAAGTGAGTTGGTTGGTTGATTTGTTGTTGTCCTTCATTCTTGAAAAGAACCAAAATGATACCACTATGTTAGATTCAAGTTACAGTGCATCTGACTGTGGTTGATCAGACGAATATGAGCTCAGAATGCTCTACCACAGGTTGAGCGCAAATAGTCCATGTGAACATTGGGAGCAGATTCTCTACATTTGTACCTCTCACATTTCTTTTGAGCTACTTCAATTCTGCCTTGCTCATACAGCACAGCACCGTCTTTGATGAGGGCACACCATTCTGGACTGTCACTGTCTCACATATCACACGATTAATTCCAAAGTTCTTAAAAGAGACCTTGAGAATGTCCTTGTATCACTTCTTCCTATTACAATCCTTGAATTCTTGAATTATTAATATATGGAAGTAAGCCATATGAAATATGGATTAGGTGTGTGTGGTATAAACTAGATAAAAATGGGTAGATTTTTCAAGGACACAGATTTTTCTTGAATATGAAGAACATTAGCCTTAATAATTAGAGCTAATGGGGCAGCCTGACTCATGAAGTAGTCTCTTTCCTAACACTGAAAGTGTTCAAGCAGAGGTCAGGAATACCACAGAGAGGATTCTCATAGGAGGTGGAGAGTTCCTCCTGGGGCCTTTATTTTGTGAAGGCATTCATGTTTATACTCCTCCCATCTGTGTTCTGTTTTTAAAGCTATGCCCCCATGATTGGTACTTTCATTTGATTCTTCTCACCTTCTTGTCTTTCAACTCCTTTGTATGTGTTGTCTTCTCCTGTTAGCATGTAAACTGATACACTGTTAGTGGAGCTGAGCAATGGTGCAACTACTTTGGAAAATGATTTGGAATTATACAAATAAAGTGACTAAAATGTCCATATCCTTTGAACCAGAAACACTCTTATTGGGTTATATCCCAAGGAAGCCATTAATAAGAAGAAGGTCTCCATATAGTCCAAAATATTTATAGTAGCACTTTTCGTGATAGCTAAGAATTGGAAATAAAGTAGATGCCCATTAACTGAGGAGTGATTAATTAGAATGTATATGAATGTAATGCAATATTACAGTGTTGTAAGAAATGGTCTGTGTGATGAATTCAGATAAGCATGGAAAGATCTATATGGACTGATGTAGAATAAAGTAAGCAAAGCCAAGAAAACAATATACGCAATGACTACAACAATATAAGTGGAAAGAATAACCATATACCAAGCAAAACAAAAGTAAATATAACAAAATTATAAAGATCAAACAGGACTCAGGTGAAGAGATATGGGAAGACACTCCAATCTATCTCTTTGTAGAGGTGGGAGTTCCACAAGTTTGCATGTTTTCATACTTTTTCAGTGTATTGATTAGTTGTGCTGGTGTTTTTTACTCAAAAATACTTCGATTTTTTTTTATATGGGATGGCTCTCTGGGAGGGGGAAAAGGAAGGATAGTTAGGATAACCATGATAAAGCAAGAAACAAAAGATACTAATAAAAACTTATTTAAAAAATAATGTAAGGTCATTGAGGGTAGGAATTATCTTTCTCTTTGTTTGTATTTGTATCCCCAGTAATTAGCACAGTACCTAGAAAATATTAAGTATCTTTAAAAATTTTTTTCAATCTTGTCTGATTCTTCGAGACCCCCTTTGGTGTTTTCTTGGCAAAGATACTGGAATGGTTCAGCAATTCCTTCTTTAGCTCATTTTACAGAAGAGGAAACTTGGGCAAATAAGGTGAAGTGACTTGCCCAGGGTCACACAGCTACTAAATGTTTGAGGCTGGATTTGAACTCAGATATTCCTTACTTCAGGCCTGAAACTCTAGCCACTGCTCCACTTAGGGACCCTAATAATTATGTAATAAATGCTTATTTCCTTCCTTCCTCCTTTCTTCCTTTGATCTGAATCAGTCTATTTCTTAAAGAGTCAACCTGGAGTAGTGAAAGAATACTGGTTTTGGTATCAGAACACCCAGATTCACATACCACTGCTGCCTTATTACTACCTGTGTAAACTTGGGTAAGTCACTTAACTAACATAAGTCTGTACTCTTAATGATACCTCACTTTCCTCATTTGAAGAATGATGGGTGAAGGGTTTAGACTCAAGGTTCCCTTTGGTCACTTCCAGCTCTAAATCTATCATCCTATGAGACAATTGCTTCATTAAGATTTTGCACAATCTTTTCTCATGTGTACATCTTTTCTTCAATAGCCTTATTTCATTTTTATAGATGCAAGATGTTCCTTTTTATTTCCTATTGAAATTCTTAACATGTCTAAGGGATTTAGTGGTTGTTCATACAGTATTGTTCTGGAACTGTCTCTTTACCTTCTTTCACCTATGCCATTTATTCATTGCATTGGGCCCTCTTTTGCCTTTTCGTTTCTCCAGTCTTTCTGGTAGTTTTCCTTAGCGAATTTCTTGCTACCTCCCACTTTTCAGTTGTTCTTTCATCTTAATTGGAACATTTATGTATACATTTAGGTGATGCATGGAAGCTCAGCTTAGTCCTGGTTATACACTCAGCAGTTTGTTAGACTATAGGCCTTATTTTGCGAATCTTAAATCTTGCATATGACTTTCTGGAGTTTCTCCAAGTTGTCTCCATTTTTGTTTGGTAAAAAATAAGAAACTGGCTGGAAAAGTGATTAAGATTTGACCAGGGTTAAACAAATTGCCTGATGTTTCCAACTAGAAATTATTTCTTTGCCATTAAATCTCATAGTTCTTGGTTGTTCTTTTTTGTGCTGGTCACAATTTAATTTGTAGCCTTTCTGGCTGTGTGTGTATCTCATCATGACCTATTCATTTTTAGCTTCTAGTGTAATGTGTACTCAGTGTAATGCAGCAGTCACTAGCTGCAACCTTGAGGAAGGCCACTGACCTCGGTTTACTCATCTATGAAATGGGGATAACAGTATTTGTTCTAACTACTTCACAGTGCTTTTGAGAGCAAAATTCTTTGGATTCCTCAAAGCATTATATAAACAACACTACTACTGCTGCTGCTGCTGCTGCTGCTACTATCACTACTGTTACTACTACTACTACTGCTGCTGCTGTTACTATTACTGCTACTTCTGCTGCTGCTGCTACTGTTACTAATACTGCTGCTGCTTCTGCTACTTTTGCTGCTACTGTTACTAATACTGCTGCTGCTTCTGCTACTTTTGCTGCTGCTGCTGCTACTGTTACTACTATTACTGCTGCTGCTACTGTTACTACTGTCCTTACTGCTACTGCTACTTCTACTACTATTACTACTTACTGCTATTGCTGCTGCTGCTACTGCTGCTTTTGCTGCTACTGCTACTACTACTACTATTTACTACTTGCTGCTATTTCTGCTACTACTTCTGCTCCTGCTCCTGCTACTACTGCTGATGTTGCTGCTGCAAATACAACATTGTTGCATCAGGGAGATAGGGGTATTATTATCTCCATTTTACAGATAAGGTTACACAGAGTAGGATTGGTGCACTTCACAAATGTTTGACTTTGTGAATATTGAATATTGTGTCATATGTGAATATTGTGTCAGGAGAGTTGCAGCATAGGAAGTAGATAGATAGCTGATCTTAAAGTCAGGAAAACCTGTGACACGTACTACTGTGTGATCCTGGGCAAGTCACTAATCTCTCAGTGTGTCCTGAAACCTTCTAAGACAGTGGTTCGTAATGTGCAGTCTTGTTATCTAAAGCATTTTTTTTATAATTGCATTTCAATATAATTTCCTTTATTATCATATATTTTATTTTATGCATTTAAAAATATTCTGAGAAGGGGTAGGGGTCCATAGTCTTCACCAAACTTCTGGGGTCTGATGAATTGAAGTCTATGAGTGGGCTCTATGATACTAGAAAGGCCAAGAACTCCTGCCCTAAAACTGTAAGCAGAATAGTTTTGGGTCTACACTAGTAGAGGGAATTTTCCAGACCAATGAAAGCATAGGTTAGAACCAAAACAAAAAAGAAAAGAAAAGAAAAAGATTGATTTCTATTTTCTTTAATCCCATTTTATTGTTCCATTATTCAACTTGGTTTTTAAACCATAGCATTTGTTATAATTCATCACCTTAGAATCCCATAATGTTGTAGACTTTTCTTGAAAATATGCTTATATCTTTCCCAATTTGCATTTATCCAATTTGTTTTTTCTTAACAATGTTCTTGTTCTCATTGTCCTTCCCAACCCCTTTGTACCATTAAAAGACAGTGATAGTATCAAGTGACACTGATCATCATAAAATTTGAAAAATGGGGTCATTGTCATCAGATGTATTTTTTTCATTACAAGATATTGCTTTTTTAAATTATGGCTTGGAGAAGAAAACATCAGCAAGACAGAGAATAGTACATTTTTATATCTAAAATCAAAATTGAGTTAAATTTATGAAATTTTCCTCATTCTACAGGGCAATCCTCAATGTTAAAAATGAAAGCCATGGTTAGAAAAGGGCTGGAAGGTACAGCACCAAACTCCTCCCAAAGCCTTTCTTCAGAGAGGGCAGAAACTGGACTCTTCACACACTCCACTTTGCATTTGCTGCTCTGCTTGGTTTCAGCTCCAAATTATGATATACCCTGGTGTTCCCCCTCACTTTCCTGTCTCCTTTTATACATTGTTCCCCCCCCCACCAATTAGATTGTAAACTGCTTCTTTTTCTTATTTGTATCCCTAACACTTAGCATAGTGTCTGGTACTTAGTAGGTGCTTAATGAAGTTTATTGAATTAAATTGAATTTGTTGATTTGAATATAACCTGTCTCTCAAAGTCCACTGCATGAGACTCTCTTTGTTGGAGGTGATTGATTCTTTGCCTTCCTGAGAAGTGAAGTTGACAAGAGCTTGAGAGAAGAGAGATCCTGGTCTACTGGCTTTCATCTCTGAGAGAGAAG